TGGTTTGGGTTTTGTGGGTTAAGGTTTGTGGCTAAACGTAAAACGGGCTCTGAAGAAACGGTACCAAGCATAAGCAAGCAGTCTGGATGAGTACCTACTTCATAGCCATGACCTACAAATGACATTGTCATAATCTATGACTCAATGGAGAAATATGGATAAAAGAGAAAGGTGCTTTTGAAATAAAAGGAGGAAATGTAAGAAATAATTGCATAAAAACTTCTTTGGCTGTTTAACACTTTTGTGCCCAAGGGTCTAAATGAATATATCAACATCTTTTGGTTTCTGCAGTAATCATGTATTTCCTGTTATTACTGATAATGACTTTAAAACAGCACACTTAAGTAGGGCTGTTATTTTATCTGCAGCCTTTTCGAGGCAGGAGTGGCAACCAGGCACGTGGGAAGTGGTAACACCAGGGGAGGAACACGATGACAGCTCATCAGCGGAAACATATGTCAGCTTAGTGAGGAGCTAATGAGGGGTGGCACTGGGACCTCAGCATGCCACAACCAAGCAACTTCTAACATAAATTTCTAGACGCATTACATCCCATCCTGACGCAGCCTATGAACTTCTTACCTTCATAGCAGCTGATAAACCCAGCCTGAACTTACAGCAACTTTCTCTGAATTTACAGCAAGTTTACCTGGATTTCTCTAATGCAATCCTAGCTCCGAATTTGGTTAGCACATGGACTTGACCAAAATCTCAACATTGTATCAGCTGAATCCATTTCGTTGGCTTCCAGTGGGCAAGTCATTATTTCTAAACAGGACTAGGTGATTAAACAATACTTTGCCTGAGGTTAACATGAATATTTCTCACTCTTTCCTCATCATCTTTTGTATTAGCTAAAACTGTCTGCCAAACCTAGCCCAAAGTCACAAGTGTTTTAGTTAAACAATATGACTTTTCTTGTGACTGAACTCTGCCCAATTTTTTGTCTATCTCTAATTCCACACACCTTTAGATGGATACTGCAAGGACAAGAGGACAGTAGGAGAGGCCAGAAGAACATCTGCTGCATGACAGCAGAGTCAGATACTACCTTGAAGGGGCACGGGCTAAACAGGTAAGATTACAGGACTGGAATATAAGGGAACAGGAGACAAGAGACCAGAGGCTCTTAAAAAAGGAAGTAGGCTGCTGTGCTGTTCTGCCTCCACAAGCACTCAATGCAATCAAATACAGCAACAGGATCAGGGCAGAGCGAATGATGAATATTTCTCAGCTTCCTTATGTTAGCAGGACTCAGAGCAATAAGGCTTAAATTGCTGGCAGGTACTTGGATCCCACTGCAACAAGTAGCTAGAAGAATCTAGTAGACTTGCAAAGATAGGGTCGTTTTGAAGCTAGCATTTCACCTCATCTATTTGCCATGCCTTGCTACTTTCCCTGCCTTTTTCTGGAGCACAGTTTTTTCACCCACATCATCCGTAACTGAGCACCAGCTTGCAACTGCTTCTAGAACCAGTCACTCACAGGGCTGGACCAAATCATACACACAACACCTAACCAACTGTGTCGGCACTGAGAGGGCAAGGGAGCTTGCAGAAAGGTTACCCTGTCATCAATGTATCAGCTAAATTCAACTAGTTTTTGAAAGAAAACGGCCCCCTCTTATTTGCTATCCTGATACAGAAGCAGCCATTTGCCAGACTGATTTTTGCAAGATTTATTCCCAGTTGCTGTCCTGTGGGGCTCAAAAAAATCCCCAGGGGTTCACTGAATCAGGACTACAGAAGGACCAGTGCAAAAAGGCCACACTATCACTCCAATTCAAACAGCTTCAGAGTGAAAAATTACAAAAGGACCAAAAAAAAAAAATTTACAAAAAAAGGTCTTTAGGCTGGATTCTGCCCATTTCACCCCTTTAATATTTCTACAATGTATGTTTCAAAGGAAAAGTCAGAAAAAAAATCCAACTACTTGGAGCAGTTTTGATGATAAAATGCTACTGGATAAACCATTAGAAAATAAAAATAGCAGTTCACAAATGTCATGCCAGGCTTTCAAATGAGCCTGAAAATACACGTGCAGTTAAAGAAAAAAGATCTTTCCTTTTTCATGTAAAAATGTGCTTACTGCCAACAGACTACAAAAGCCAAATGTTGCAAAAACCCACAAATCACTTAAAAATGAGGCATTTTATTTCCCTCCCCCAACAGATGAGGTGAAACTGCTTTTCTAAACACTCACTTCTGCTGTAGATGTTTATACAACTTAATTTTGGAAGTAAGCAGAAAAAAAAAAAAGTCCTTTCAGGCATTATTTTCCTACCAATACTCGCCAAAGGGAAGGTGAAGCACCTGAAGGTCAAATGCACATAAGTGCATGTCCCGTGGGGATGCTAAGGAGGTTTAAGTTTTGATTCCCAAGTAACAGATGCCTGAGAGCTCGGTTAAGTATCACAAGTGAATTATGCTTAGCAACATCACAATTTTAGCCAAATTACCTCAATTTACTTGAGCAGCACTGTTAAGACAGACACACTTGGTGAACTCCAGGCTTCTTGACTCCTGAACTAGTGCAGGTCTCTATTGTTGCTTCAGAGCTAGACACCATTTGGGGGCCTGATCCAGCACTAACACAGCCAGTGGAAGGAGAACTGTACTGCCATGAAAGCACATTGAATCAAACCTTTGATCAGCTTTAACAACAACAATTACTAGTGTCAGAGCTGTACATTAATTTGAAAAGTCCTATTCCTATCTATATTTTTAAACATGAAAGCTGCTGTTAGGAACTGCGCTGAAGGTCTCCTCACCCTAACCTGCTGGACTGATGGCTAAGCTTGCACTAGACTAGAATGACCTCAGCAGCCCAACTCCATCATCAGGCCCCATTTCAATCTCACGAATGGCTGTTTCACTCTTAGCATGAGGAAAGAGAGCAGCAGGATGAAGCTGTATGAACTCATGACTGGTGGCCCATTTTGTGCTGGATTCAGAAACCTGGTGTCATTCTTAGTTGCAGTGAAAATGGAAAATTCTGAAATTCTTCCCAAAGTACAACTAACAACACTTTGCTCTCTCATGTTGCATCATCATATACAGCACAAAAATAATTCAGAACAAGTCAACCTATCAATGATATTTACAGCATCACTTCTACCAGGTCTTTTACTCAATTTGCTGAAAAGCAGAACTGAAGTATTCTGCACATGGCCTACAGTCTACTGAAGTCAACAGATAACTTTCACAGACACTTCAATAGAGTCCTGCTCCTGTTCAAACATTTCTGACTGCAGTCCAGACTAGCATTAATGATTTACATTTACACTATGATAGTAGTGCTAATGAAATCCACAAAAACAAACATGGGACCTGAACTGTTACTTCTACTTTCTTTTCTACCATACTTTTAATCAGTTTGCTATTACAGAATGTATTCTGTTGTAACATCATGGATAATTCAGAGAAAATACAGTAATCCATGTAGGTATTTCTACCTTCTCTCTTCTGAACACTACACAATGTACTCAGAAACCATTGTTTTATCTTCAGGAAAAGAGGGAGAAAAAACACCCACCACAAATAAAATCCCATACATTTCCTATAGGCCACTTTATCTGATGAAGGCAGCAGAAATAGCTGAGAATGGTGAGATAGCAGGTGCTGATGTACCAACAGTGGCGGGGGAAAGATTACTACAGATTCTGATGCAAGGCTGTAAGACTGAATCTGCACTACATGGGAGATATGCAAACGGGGAAAATATTGAATAAGAAGAATTTTTGTACTAGTTTTTGCTGTTAGAAAAAGACTGTAATCATCCATCAGTTCAGAAATGTTATTAAGGATTACAGTGGAGGAAAAATTATAGGCTGAGAAGTGCAGCAAGAACTTTATTTGTTAGAATTTCTCTTGAGACATGTAACCTTTGTAAGTCCTGAAGAATGGAGAAACACCTTTCCCTTCCCCTCCCTGAACTCTGAGGAAACGACATCCAACTTCTGTTGTGAAAGAAAAAAAAAAAATAAAGGACTGAACAGCTTATAAAGCTTTCTCTTTTAATCATAACATATTATGATTTCTATCTAGGTAGAAATAATAACAATGCAATAGACTGGATGCAAATAGAAGATGCCCCATCTTGTTCTTTTCTTCTATGGTCCATGGAAAGCTTTTTTCTACAGGGTTGCAAGTGGTTTGTCCTTTTAACTATGGGTCAGAAAACTGTCCCTTTACAGAGAAGGGGGCTCTTTGAGAAGTACAAGGAATTGACAAACAGCTCATCTCCTGCAGCTCAATACCCCCCCTTACCCAATCTGCCTTAATCCTGGCTGGAGGTGGATCCCTGAGGAAGTAGGACACATGAAGCATATGAACACAGACAACGTGTTTGTGCTCACCTCCCCCAAAAGCTTCTGAATATGTCAACCGACTTCAACAAAATGTAACAGAGCAGCAGAGTTTCAATGACACTGAGTTCCTATGAGTTTCATAAAAAGAGGAGTCAAGGAGATGAGGACCACCCTGTTAAGGTCCCTACCCGAGGAAAAAGCTACATTATGAACCAAGCCCTATTTCGCATCAGCAGATCAAGCCAACCTCAAGTCACAGAAGACTAGGTTTCTTTGGGCCCACTGCTGGCAGAAGTACTTTACTAAATATATGACCACCTGGTTTCTCAGTTAATAATCCTACTAGCACACATCAGCGCTACATACAGCCCAACACTAGAACCACACGTGATGTTTATGTAAGAACCACAGAAGACATACTTCTTATGATCTCAGCACTTAGCTATTAGTATGTATCAAACATTGTGTTGTACTCCCGTTGACAGCAGGCCCTCCTCTGAATGCTATTTGCTGAGGGAGTTTGCAACAGCCATATGCTGCATACATACAAGGAAAACAACAAGCGTGTTTATTGACTTAAAAATTAGTAAGTGCACGAGTTTTGGGGCGTAAAGGTGATACCAATACAGATACCTGGAGGTAAGAAAGCCAACTGTAAGACTGAGAAGCCAGAAGCACCTTTCATTCCTACCTGGTTCAGTGCAATTTCTGACGTATGGCTGCCCCCCATCCTCTGGGATGTCAGTCACATTCTCCTCATTCGCTTGCAGTAGCTGTCTCCCGTTCCATTTGTCATTACTTTCCACAGAATAGCTCAGGGCATCATAACCTAAAGGAAAAGAGCAGTAGATACGTGAGACTGCACAGGAAAGGCAACTCCTGATTCTATTTCTGAATGCTTGAAGCAGCCATAACGACCTGCACTTTAAACCCAGTGTCCCTTGGGTTGAAAACAGCAGTGTTTCTAATCCCACTGGAAAGGAACACTGCCATTAGCTCCACATCCCAATTAGTCAGGAGTCAGGTTCATTCCTCCACAACTTTGAAGGTTCATACCAGAAGAGTATCTACGGTTTCACAAGAAGTTGGAAGATTCAATCAGATAAAATACCATCCACTGTTTTGGTTAAAAAAACCCCAAACCCAAACAACACCACATGAGTGATCACACACAACAAAAATAAAGCCCCTCAACTTATTACTTCTGTAGACATTTCATTGCTGCTAAGTACCAGCAGAACTCTGCTGAATTTTGCACATGCTTATACAACGTTTAAGCCATTTCTGTTTAGGATTACAATCCTCTTTGCTGCTGAATTAGGCCTCAGAAATACAGTGTTTGACACAAATGTCAGGTAGGCTTCTTTGTGAACCAAAACCCCACTATGCAGGTGTAAGGAAAGCTCTGCTCCAACTGAGTGTAAGGTTTCTCAGGACTGCAAAGGCAGAGCTCGGCAATCTGCACTGTGTCAGCAAATGGCAGTTGGGAGGCTGCATCCCAGGGGGGACTGAAGCATAGGAGCAATTGCCATTTTCAAATTACGTTTTGTAATAAAAGCCTGAAGGGTCATTTTCAAAGCGGTCAATAGGGATCCATTTCAATATCTGGATCCTTTTCAGTATCTTGCGCCCAAGTCCAATACCATAGGTGGAAAGATTCCTGAATGCGGTCACTGCAGGTCAGGCAGCAGCAATTCAATGCATTAGAAAGCATTCATTTATAAACACAAAATCTACAGGTTCCTTCAGGTTCTGCTCACAGAGTACAAAGCAACTGATGGAACCATCTTTATAAGAGTATAGCTGTATTCATTCTCAAAATCTTTCTCATAAGCACAACCGCACTGTTATTCCCACCCAACACAACCTAACCAAAGCCAGAGCATGCCTCTGAGTTGCTTGCTCTATACTTCCAGTCATTAGGAAACATCTGTAAACATCAGGGACACGTACCTTATACAGAACTGAAAAAAGGGGATAAACCAGGAGCCTGAGCGTACTCCTTACTACACTGTCTTCCTAACAAGAAGGTGTACACATTTACTGACGTTTTTCCAACACCAGCTACATTAATTTTGCTCACCAGTTTCTTTGCCAGCAAAACCCAGACCTGACTGCAAAATAGCTGTACACTATCACACAAAGTTTCAGTGCTACACCTGATTGCTGTTGAGAATACCAAGAAAAACCCTAAAACTCTATTCCTTGGCCATCAACCCAGTGAAATAAGAATCACCACCTGGAAGGCAAGAAAGTAACGAAGAGTAATAAAATGAGGAGACTGAAACGGCACATCTTTGACTCAAGCAAAGGATGGCAGTAGCCAGCACCAGAACTTTGCCAGTGAGAAGCCAGAAGGAACTGAAAAGTGAATACTGAGAAGCGAGTGCAGGCAGTAAGAGCTGGGCACACTGCACAGCTGACTCACAGGGTACCAAAACCAGTTTGTATGCAATAAACATGAAGACGCATTACACCAACCCCCCAGCTCCCATCAGCAGCACAGTACATCAAACTGCAATTGTTCTATAGCTGCTTCATGCACCAGGCACACGGACTGGTTTCAGCTGCACACTCGCAAGGCACGGGGTGGTTCCAGGTACAAGTGTGCAGCAAGTAAGCCTACAAAAAGGTAACACATTACTTTGTCTTATTATTTCTGACTCTCTCCTTGCTTTACTCCCCCCTTTGGCTTTGCCTTGGTGCTGCTAAGTGAAACGCTATTTTAGCAATGTCAACGAAAACAGCTGGCAGATTTCCATTATATTCTTGGCACAAGGCTCATCAGCCTTGGACATGCCATGTCTGCCTAATTAGCTGAAAGCACGTGCTCACGTCCTATGTAGTTTTAGATTCAAGGAAGGAAGAAAACTTTTTTTTAAGCTGCCAAGGCATCCACACCAAATCAGCTATCTTGCAACTGAGACCTTGGGCCTATCCAGTAACAAACAGCATTTGAGAGAGATTATCACCTACCCACACATCATCTTTCCACCAGGCAGAACACAGGCCCTCTCACAAGGACTCTACTATTCAAGTTACTCCCCAAGCACATATCCCTGATACTGTCCATAGCCTCACACTATGGCAGGGTCTGGCTGTCCTGCCCACTGGGAAGAACATGCAGTTTTCTATCAAACATCTAGGGTGTTTTGAGCACAAGGTTAATGACAGGCTTTACTCCACAAAGGGAATTCACTGCACCAGGGGTCTGTGCAGAGGCTGGAGTCTGCACCCAACGCTTGAGGCTTCAAACCACTTTTAAATACGAACTATTCCCAGTTTTGTTTAGCACTCTGGAGACAGACCACAAGCAAAGACCAGTGGAACAGAGATTCAGATCTTGGGGAAATGTCTCAGAAGATGCTTAAGAATAAAGGAAATGGTTCTCTGCAGGTCCCAACTCTTTTGTTAGGTTTTCTGACTCATTACATTTAGAGAGTGGCCAACCTGAGGCTCCTCTGTCTTGCTCAGATCATAGGTTGCTCAGGGCGGCTCCCATGTCATGCTACCAGCAGGGAGGCAATGCTTGGGAAAGGGCTGCCTGGAAATACGCATCTCAGGCCCAGAGCAGTGACTGGGACCGACATCCCCAAGACACACAGGAGTTGGCTTGTGTGCACGTCTGGGGAAAGAACCCCAGCTGCATGAGCAGCCTTAAGCATCCCTGCTTTCTAAGCAAAACAGTGTTTAACGTCGTAAACTAAGTATGATCTGAAGCCTTAGGTACTTTGTATTTGCTATGCTTTACAAACTTCAGAGAATGCTGTTTGATTAATCTGCGAGCACCAGTAAAATCTTAAACTGTGAGTTAAACACGCACAAACACCACTGATAGAAGCAGACTGTGTTTCTCAGGAGCACATGCAATAATCCAACATGAGGCATAATAACATCTCGCATAATAATAAACATACTCTGGTAATCTGAGCTAAGCAGTTTCAGTTCCACATACAAGCTGTTTTCAAAGCAGAGGCACACTTCTCCAAGCGGTTGATGCTTCACTGTGTGTCGCTGCATGGAAGAAAGGCACAAGAGAAAACCCACAAGGACTGGAACGGCCCAGAAGTTCCTACAGAAACCTCTCCTGCTCTCTCCACACCCATAACGCCTTTCTCTCTCTTTTAAAGCGAGGGGTAGAGAAGAAGAAAGTCATTTGAGGTGACTTTGGAAAGGGAAGAGCTTAATTTGGCAATAAAAGTGTTTATAAAGGCTACATTCAGCATTCACACAAATCAGCGTAAATAGCAGCAGAACTGGTCCATGGCTGAACTCAATGGGATGGCTGTGACTTACACAGTAAAAGCTCTCTGGTATCTCCAGGTCTAAGTGGGGTCAGCTATCTCACTGCAGGACTTGTAACCCACTGACACCAAAATCTACCTTGGGTATCTCCACTGTAAATCAATTTGGCTCAACAGAGCAATAGAAAATACAAGTTAGATATGAAAGGAGATGCTTTTTCAAAGTTTTGACCTTCCAAGGATTTCCCTGTGAAAATAGGGACACATCAAGATTTTCATCTTCCTAACAAGGGCATTTCAGGATAATTAATCAGGGCTCACATATCCCTGCTTGCCGGCACTGGCCTCCCTGCAGCATGGCCAGAGGCAGCTCAACACCTACCCTATGAGCACAGGCCATGCTCCCGTCAGCCCCTGCAGAAAACAACTCAAACCTGGATTCATGTTTTGGCAGATTCAGTGGAAGAGGAACCGACTGTCAGCTGCAGTTTAACCCTTCACACGTGGCTGCCTATAAAATAGGGTCCTTGTGCATTCCGCTGGATGCAGGGGCATCACTGTTTTGGCCTGGCAGCATCTCTTCCTGCTTTAGGTGCTAGGACAAGGCAGAACCACCACTACCAAGAAGTGCTCCATTACCAGGGACATCACCTTGGCCATAGCATCCCACTGTGACAGGGCTGCGTGAACAGCATGCCACCATCACCACAGCCAGGTGGCCAGACCCACTCTGGCCTCCTTGGCCCCTTCCTGTCCACACTGGCCAGGTCCCTCCTTGGGTTGTCACAACACCAGCAGGAGGAGCACTAGCACCTTGGGCTCACTCGTGGGAAAGGCACAAGCATGTTCTGATCTGTAAGTATTGCACAATCACATCCTCAGGACAGTTGCAAAAAGGCAGATGCAACAATCGCAAATTCTCTTCTGAGAACAAATCTTTTACAACATGTGCTTCTGCCTTCTCATTTCAGACGGTATCTTACAACGCTTTAGTCACCTGTTCTAAGGCAAAACTGACACTGACTGGAAGTTTCACATCAGCTGCCAACGGCTGTGGGGCCTGGGCCCTTATGTCACCAAACAAGGGCCCCATCCTTTGATTTCAACATACAATCACAGCCAGCCAAACGTAGAACAAAATCTGATATTCTGCAGAGGAGCTGTGAGAACAGCAAGGAATAACCAAAACTTATTTCTAAGGAAAAGTAGGAAAGATTATAAAAAGAAAGCTAACAGTTTTCTTTTTGAAAATGCAGTTGGATGATTTTTAATGGGAAATATGTCAAAAACATTTCCTTAATTTTCTCAGCAGAGGTAAAGACATCTTGCATTAGCTACACAGTAAATTTGTTCAGACCAGTATATAGATTAGATGTTTTTCTTATTAATGCTTTAGCTGCTGGCTTTAAAATAAAATAATACTGTGACATCTTTAAAAACTTTGTTACCACAGCATGTTTCAAAGTGGGTGAATTATTGTTTTAAGCACTGAATGTCACCACAAGGTATTTTCCACAACTCCAATTACCCAGCGCCAGTTTTACATTACAGACTCAGAAACCAGGTTCTGAAGAGCTTTA